TTGCTCTATGTAACACATCCCTACCAAATAACCGGTGTTACCTACATGACCATTCCACAATAGACATACAGCTATATTTAATTTTATGATATCATACAATACATAAATCACATAATAAAAAGCGAGAATAATGGTGAAGTTTATACCCCACCCATGGTTCTCATCTATGAAGCCAGACAACAAAGAGCTACAAACTCCTTGTTGCCAAATAACATCAAGAAGGAACCGTCCATGGTCTTATACTCTGTTAACTCAGAATCCAGGTCTTCTTCTAAGAATCCAAGTCTCTTTCATGCTTTCTACACCATTAGCAAAATCAACCACCAAGAGGGAGAGAATATCTAAAGAAGACAAGACACATGAAATGGTGTCCCATTCATCAATAGCATGCTTGGCAAAGAGGAGAAAGGTAACATTGTATTTATTGTATTTACTGTAGTAGTCAAAAGTATTCTAATACGTTTGGAAGAGGCCTTGTACTTGAAAGAAATGCCTAAAAGTTACACCAGACTAAAACATGTATGTAACAATAATCATAACTAACAATAGTCAACTGTACAGTAGTAATATTCAGGGTAATAAATGTAAGACAGTTGAATACTCAAGCGAAAGAATTATATATATACACGAGCAACAATTTTGTCACAAACAGGTACATATTGCACAATACACATAACCAATACACAAAATGTAACACATTTACTGAAGAGAATGCTATCCCTATCTGTCCTGCTGTTCCATAAAACAGAATTATCCACAGCATTTAGAATAATTGGATTAGCTTGTAATAAGCACACCAAATGCAACTGCTGGATTAATTCTTAAATTAGCTTGACTGTTAATTCTACTAACACATGCTCCAGACAAAGTTATCTTGAATATATTTCAAGTTACTGTTCTTTACTTCCAACTTCTCATTTTCTATCAGTGGTAAAGTAAACAAAAAACAAAAATTAGCATGTTATTTTTTAACTTCTTTTATTATATGATATAATTTTGCTTTTAACTACACAAGAGAATTTGAATCATTCTTGGTATGTGAGAAGAAAAAAAAAGTTTGCATACTCAGCAATCCTTGGCAGAACCAATCTAATTCTTATTTCATTTTATTTTATTCTTCAGTAAAAAATACACAAATAAAAATAAACACTGTACTTTGTTTACATAGATGGTTTCCCTATCAATGGGTAATATAATTAATCCCTTTATAGTTAGTCAAAGCTATATTCAGTATTTCTTACTGATGGTAATTAACACCAATGTCACAATTTAACAATTTTGCTGCTGTGTGATTCATTTATAACCAAACTGTTTATATAAGGTTCTTTCTCCACTCAAAAATCCTAAGTTTTCAGAAAATACTCTAGGATAGAGATAAGATTAAACAAATGGATATGATGTGCATGTGCTTTTACTTATTTCTATGTCCATGCTACTTTTATGGTTGTGTATGTGCAGCACCATGCTTTTTATTTACAAGCACAATCTGGTGTAAACAAACCAACGGGATGTTTTGGTACATGACATTTTACATTGCCGCAGACTCAAAATACTTTACCAAATAAATACATGTTTCTCTAATAACTATTTGTTAACATTGTGCACTTCTCTAAACTTATTCCTTTCTAATACCTTCAGTTTACAAAAAAAAAAAAAAAAAAAAAAAAAATGTATAATCAACAATGATACCTTTCTTTTATGTAGATGTCAAAACATTGATGCATGCAATGAGATACGCAAAAGGTAAAGAGAGGAAAAGATGCAAGTTAAGCATGCGAAGGTTTTAGTGCTAAAAATACAACTAAAACTATGCACTACTTACTACTGGTTAAGTGCTTCTGTAATTCTTCCAGTATTTAGTTTGCTAAATTCTATACTCCTTGTCTTAATAATTTTCTCAAAATTCAAAGCTTTTTTCTAAATAAATTCAAATAAAAAATATTTTAGATAATCATATGCATGTCTATCTATATATACAGTATGTGCTTGTGCATCTGGGCTTCTAAAGGTGTGTAACACTAATTTTTTGGTGTGTGTTTGTATATTTCTATTTGTGACTGAATGTGTATTTTATGAACTCACTGATCATGTTAATGGATGAATTACAGAAGTAAACAACAACCAATGGGATGATTTTTCAGGCTGCTTTTGCCCTCCCGAGTTCAGCATAAGAACACACTAACCTGAGCATTGAGCATGACTTGGCACCGATGTCTTGACAGCCATGCTGAATGCCACACACCAAGTATGGCAGAAATCTTAGGATGGACCCCTTATCCACAATGGAACCACTAACTCCCTGTGCAACCTTGATGCGGTCTCCCTCTCTGTTGGAATGAGGATAAACATTGATTATTGCATTGGCTCTCAGACTCGACTAAAAAAAAAATAGAAAAATAGGGAGGGTCTTTTGCTTAAGGCAGATGATATGTAATTTAGTGCAGATGTATAAACCAGTAAGTATTACACAGGCCATTTTAAAAAGTATAAACATCAATAA